GAGGATGGGGGGTGGAGGGGGGTAGGGAGAGGGCCTGGAGAAGCCAGTAAGCAGTGGGTTTGGCAGGAGAGGGGGTGACATATGTGGGGAGCCCTAGGGACCCAACCAGGCAAGCCGCTGGCAGGGAAAGCAGACGGTGTTAACCCTTGCTATGCCACATTGTCTGACTGCCTAGAGTAGCCAGTGGCTAGGGTTGTTATTTGTAAGGCTGACAGGGCTTGGGGTCAGAGGAGCCTGGGGTCAGAGGAGTTGTTGTGTTTCTGGGAAGTGGCAGCAGGTCTTGGATCTTCCTTGAGTTTCTCTTGTCTGTTTCCACATGATCTCTGTCGGTCTGTCTTCCTGTTTCTGTCTCTGCCTTCACCTTTCTGTGCTTCTAGAAGGTGATAGCGGGTCTCTACTCTGACTCACTGCACAATCTGTCACTCTGCTTTCAGCCGGATTGGAAGCCCCCCTTTTAGGTGCCCAGCCTGAGCCCTTCTCTTGCCCCTGGCCCGCCAGGCCTTATTGCTTTTGTCTCCTAAGGCAGCCCCCCTTCTTTTCCTCTCCACTCACCTCTCCTTAGCTCAGAGCCCACCTTCCATCTCATTATGGCCTCTGACCACTGTACACCCCCCTCAGCCTCTTCTCCTCCCTCCCCCATCCATCTGTCTTCCCCTCAGCTCTCCTCTTTGTGTCCATCCATCTGTCACCACCAGCTCGGGGCCCACTCCCCTCCTGGCCACGCCTGCCTAGCCTTTCTCCTCTCAGGCTCAGTCCCCTCCCAGCACTCAGCCTCTTCCTCCTTCATCCCCACCAGCATTTCCTACTTTCTTACTTTCTCTTCACTTGGTTTTCTTTGATACCCTCTTTCATCTGTGTTTTTTTCTTTCTTCCCTTTAGTTTCAACAACTTTCCCTCAGCTGAGAGTGGGGGGAGAGATTTGGGACTCTAGGGTCCTAGCCCCCAGCCCCTGAGCAACCAACCAGAGAGACTGGTAACACTTACTTACAATTGCATCATCTCAAACTAATAACTTCTTCTTAAGCCTCTTGAGATGACCCTTCTACTCCTGTGCTTAAGCTTTCCCTGGTTGCAGACAGGGGCTGTAGCTGCCTTTCTCCACAACAGGAGTGTGGGAGCACCTCTACTTTCTGAATTTGGATTCAGGAAGGAATAAAACGTTAACCTGAGGTCCATTCTGACTCTAGTCGTTCCAAGGATCACTGCCTCTTCCAAGCTTAATTTCAGCAACTTTTGCCAAGCTTTTTTTGAGGATGGGATGCTGTCGGTCAGGGTCTTTATTTCATCACTTTTATTTCAATTTCTCCAATTCCTTCCTGTCCTTGGGTCAGAGGACAATAGTGTCTCTCAGCCTCCCTTTCTAGAACAACCCTTCCAAATCATCCCCATCCCTGAGGAGTGTAAGAGACGGGAAGGCAGACCTATGACTCCCATTGTCTCTTCACAGAAGCAGACTGTCATAGCCAAGGATGGCACTCAGAGAGCCCCTTGTCTAACTCCACACTTTACAGATGAGAACCCTGAGGCACAGAGAGCAGGAATGTCCCTTCCAAGGTCAAACTGCATGGTAGAGGCAGATCAGAAAATCTGGTCCGAAGCTCTTCCCTCAATATCATGAAGCTCCTCCATACTGTTCCTGCTCAAAGCAAACTATCTTCTGAACTCAGGTAGAACTGGTTTATAGCACTGGTTTTGCATAAAGCATACACTGCCTCGCCTAGTTGTTTATCTTGTATCATGTCCCATCTTGCCATGGAGATTCTGGATCCTGTCTCTAAGGAAAGGGACCATATCTCATACCCTTTTATGATGCCAGGAGAGAGTGCCTTGCCCACAGCCATGCTCAATCAATGTTTATGACTGTGGTGGTTGCCAGTATAGATATAAGAAAGTTCTCGTCCCAGCTCTGGCTATAATTTGCTGTATGACCTTGGACAAGCTATGTCCCTCCTTTGCATTATCATTTTCCCTCCTAAGTCAGGCCAGACACACCATTTTTAAGATCTTATTATATGTTTCCTCAAAGAAACAAAATTCTATTCAATAAGGTGAGATCTTGGTGTAGAACACCAGACAGAGTAAAAACATTGCCTACTGGATGTGCCTTTGTGTAGGGGATCCGGATGTGGGAAACACAAGTTAGTAAACCCCTTAATTCAAAGTAGCTGGAGGAGAGACACTAGTTGGCCAGGAAAGCCCTTGGTGTTGGTATCACAGTAGTGGCAGGTGGGGCCCAGGGGTGTAGGATGGTCAGTTATTCTACTACTCATACAGGTTACGAAGAGAAGGTAAAGTGTGAGCATGTGAAAGAAAACGAGGGCAGTCATAAGGGAAGAGAGGGAATAGGAAACAATAGATTTCAGACGGCCCTGGCACAAAGGCGATTAAGTCCTAGACCAAGTAGGGGGAGGGAGACTAAGGAATTGAGGCGTCTGTGGCCTTTAAGATGCTGCCACCCTGCCTTAGGAGGGAGCTGCTGAGGAGCCAGAACTGGGGTCTCAGAAAGGGAGGCTGGTGGTAGGAGGGAATTTGGGAGCCCCACTGGATCATCTAAGGAGCTCTGGTAGCATAGTGGTTATGAATCGGGCTGCTAATCTCATGGTCAGCAGTTCGAAACTACCAGCTGTTCCACGGGAGAAAGATGAGGCTTTCTGCTCCCATAAAGATTTATAGCCTTGGAAACCCTGTACAGAGTCACTATGAGTCTGAACCAACTCCAAGGCACATAACAACTGAATCATCGGGGTGCCTGAGCTCCTTCCAGGGAGCTGGTCTCTCTTAAGAACTACGGAAAGAAGAGCCTAGTACATGTGTGCTGTTTCCCTTTTGTGTGTATGTGTGTGTGTTTGGGATGGAGGGGTGAGGCTGGGATGAAGAATAGGGAGATAACAGCTTGTGCTCAGGATTCTTCCCTAGGCAGAGATTGGGGTATTGAAGGTATCACATTTTGTACTTTTTCTCACCCCCCTCTTCCCCTTGATTCTGCCCAACACTCGACATCCCTGTTCTGCCCCCTCACTGATACCCAGCCACTTCTCTGCTTCCTGAAGCTGCCAGCAGGATGAGGGCGCTTACTGCTCTGTCCGCTGGGAGACCTGTTGGCCGAGGGAGGCATGGAGCCGGCCCAGATGATGGTGGCAGCTGTGCTTGACTCCCGCCAGCACAGTACATAGCTTCTCTGCTCAAAGATGGAAGGGCTGGGTTGTGGGGGAGAAGCAAGGTCTATATCCACACCTCAGAACCCCAAATGTGCCCACTGTGGGGACTCAGAGAAACCTGGGGATGTAGCAGGAATTGAAAAGGTAAATAACCTAATCAGGGAACTAACAAGAGTGCTTAGAACTCTGCAAAAAATGTCCAGTGCTTTTCCATCATTGCTGGTCTTCAGGCATGTGTCAGAGACAGTCTCTTGGCCAGCAATGAGGGGAGAAATCTGGGGTAAGGCTTCCACTCTTGTAGGGCCTTTCCCACCCCTCAGCAGACTGCCAACAATCACTTAGCAGTTCTGTTATACTCCAGAACTCTGTCTCCACGAAGACCCAGGGAATTAGAATCTCCCCAGTTTACCCTCTACAGAGGTGTAATTGTCCAGAATCACTCTAATTTTGCTCTACAAAAAGCCCACCACCATCTACAGAATGCCAAAACGCTTCGGCACACCATCAAGGGCCTTCATGATCTGGCCCCAGCTTCATCTCATGCTGATCCGTATGGTCAAGGCACACCACAAAACTCACCATGTGTCAAACATGACCTGTGTCTTTTCTCAACTGTTTTCTTCCACATCTGGTGAACTCTTCAAATCACAACTAAATCCCGCCTCCTCTGTGCAGTGTTTCTATCTGAAACTCCCGTTCCCATGAATCCATGTGTTCCTAGTGCACTGAACCACTTGAAGGTATGGATAACAGTCTCTTCTACCCTACTGTCTCAGAGAATCAAGGTCTGCTGAGTAAAAAGGAGGAGAAAACTTTGCTAATACAGTTCTGCTCAGAAGGAACCAGGGTTCTGCAAATAACCTTTCTTTCAGGACATCAGCTGTTTTGACAGGGACTTACATCAAGGGCCCTCCGGAGAACCAGTAGACAGCATCAAACCAAACTCACTGCCACTGAGTCTATTTAGATTCACAGAACCCTATATAGAGTTTCTAAGACTGAAAATCCTTATTTTTCTCCTGTGGAGTAGCTGTTGGGTTTGAAATGCCAACCTTGTGGTTGGTAGCCCAGTGCTTAACCCACAACACCACCAGGGTTCCTTGAAGGTAGCACATGAGATAACAATTTCATGGCTTCCAGGGTCCAGGGTCACTGAACAAAAGGCAAAGGGCCTGGGAAGAATAACAGGTACAAATTGCATGGGATAATCTATTTTAATGAAACTTGTTATTTATATATTTACAAAAAAAATTAACGAAAACAAAAAATAGATATTACAACTCAATAAAAAGTACAACTGACCACTGTGGGCTGAAGGTGGGATACCCACCTAGCAGCACGCCCACCCTAATGTGCCACCAAGGGGCCTGGAAGAAGGGCAACAAGCGAACTGTCAGGTTCAGTTCCTGTCCTCCGCAGAGGTTCCTTGTAGTTTGAGGATTTGATCCTGGCATTCAATCCTTCATGTCCTCCTTCCTGTACAGGAAGGTGGCTGAGTGCAGGGAGTGGGGTGAAGAGCAGAGGGTGGTACAGGGCAAGAGAGAAAGAGCAGAAGAGGGATGCTGAAGAAGAGTAAAATTAAGATGGGCCCCTAGGAAATACAAGATCAAGAAGCTTCTGCTTGTTGTCCCATAATTAGGCAAGCGCAGGAAAGAATGAAGTGGGGAAATGAAGATGGGGAGGGGACTTATTTATCTCCCTCTCAGTTCCATTCTTCCACGTTTATTTCAGTCTGAGCCCGGCCCAGAAAAGTTCCAGTGTCAGACTAGTGGCATGTGTCCCAGTGGGACAAATAACATAAGAAGTGAATTGCAGAGCTGGCAGGAAACGCTGGGGTCCTCCTCAGTAAGACACAGCTCCTGGCTCCCGGGGAGTAATGAAAAGAACATCGGCTTTGGCGTTGACGCAGTAGGTGACGATGAGAGAGAAGATGAGGATGCCAAAGCCCACCATCAGGGTGATAAACTGAAGGGGGGTAGTGAGAAACAGGGAATGAAAAAGGTGTTCTCAGAACTCAGTGAATTTGGGGATAACAGTTTGGGGCTGGAAGCCATCAGAATTCTAGTGCTGGCTCGAAGCACCAATTACTTCCCAATCATGGGCAGCATCCCCCAATCTGAGACTTCATCTCCTCATTTGAAAAGAAGAGTAAATTGTCTCTGTTCTTGCTTCCATCTGGTATCACTTGGATTTTAAGCATCTTGAAGGTAGGACCCATGACTTTGATTCTCTCATGGCACTTACATTACTGACTTATTTGTGACAGGTGCTCAATCAGTAGTAGATTGACTCGCCTCAAATCGTTTCTCCCTTACAGGTATGTTAAAGGGGAAGTACCTATGCATGTGATCTTATTTAGAAATGGGATCTGTGCAGATGAAATCAAGTTAAGATTCCTACTGGATTAGAGTGGGCCCTAATCCAATGATGGAGTCCTGGTGTGGCTCTGTGGGTTAATGCGCCAGACTGCAAAGCGGTTTGAACTGCAAGGTTGGTGGTTCAAGCTCACCAGCTGCTCCTCGGAAACCCTATCCAGGGTCGATATGGGTCGGAACCCACTCAATGGCACTTAACAACAATAACAACAACAATCCAATGACTGGTGTCTACAAGAAGGCAAATTTGGACAGACACACATGGAGAATACCATGTGATGATAGAGGCAGAGACAGCAGTTCTGCTGCCATAAACCAAGGAGCAGCAAGGCTTGATGGCAACTATGGAAAGCTGAAAGAGACAAGGAATGATCCTTCCCTTGAGCTTTCAGAGAGAGCATGATCCTGCTCACACCTTGAGTTTAGATTTCTAGCCTCCAGAACTGTGAGGGAATAATTGTCTGTTATTTTATGTACCATGTTTGTGGTAATTTGTTATAGCAGCCACAGGAAACTAACTTGTCAACTATGACAGATGGGAAATGCCAGATGGGAGTTAGAACTGTGGAGGGGCTACCTAGGATCCGTAGGGTAAAGAACATCTCCTTGGGTCCTCATGGGAGCATATGTCCAGAATGAACATGTAACTCATACTATCAGTGAAGCAAAGCTTCCTGATGAGACATGCTGGCTGACCAGGGACTGATTTGCAGTAGGTTTTTGCTGCATAGGAGACAGAAGCAGGTATGAGATCACAAGCAATAGAAAGATGTTAAGCAGATCTTTGCCATCTTCCCTCTTCCACCTTACCTCAAGTTCTTTGCTGGCTATCAGAAATATCCGGGCACGGATATCTTTCCAGCGGCTCTCAGTCCACGTAGAGTACTCAGTAGAGCTCCACTGCCTCAGCTCAAAGGCAGGTGACAAGGCCCTGGCCAGCCGTGCCGTGGAACGCACACATCGGGGGAGCCGCTCTGTCTCATTGGAGTTCAAAGGGCCCTGAATCCACGAATAGTCGTATAGCTGCACAGGAAGACAGGCCACAGCACAGCACTGCAGTGATCCTCTCCACTCACTTCCTTCACCCTGCAGACTCAGCTCATTGCCTCTTCAACACTCAAGTTCAAAGGGCACATCCCTCCACCTTTCCACCCCAACACCCTGAGTCCAAATGGGCCTAGTGGAGCATCTAACTTTTCCAACGGGAAAGGGATCCTCAGGGCCCTTTGACACCCACTACCCACTCACATCCTTGTTTTCACGTGGGACTTTACTTGGATCCTGGCATTGTTCTCGGGTAAGATCAGTCACTGTGCCAGTCAAATTTGCCAAGGCGTACTGGACTACATAAGTGGTGTTAGTGGGGCTGGAGACAGCGATGTAATGTTGAAGAGGCCCATCACCTGATTAGAAACCATAAGGGAAGGGAGGGTTTGGTGGGTTGAAGGTAGAATAAGGGAGGGGAGAAATAGGAAGAGCCCAGAATTGGCAGAAGTCAGAAAAGAGACGGTTCAGAGAAAAGGTATCAGGAGAAAGAAAGGAAAATAGGGGAAGAAGAAAACCAAAGGAAAAAGAATAAAACAAATAAAGATGAAAGCAAAATGACAAGTGCTTCTCTATCCCTCTCCTTAGCTTCAGAGTCCCCTTCCCACAAACGCTCACCCAAGTAGGACCGCAGATCCTGCCTGATGATGGACTGGAACCAGGAGTTGTTGGCTTTCACCAGGAACCCATAGAGCAGGCGGGTAACCTAGGAGTGGAATGGGGGAAGAGAGAACCTAGTGACGTGGGGCCAGGAAAGGGTTATTAGTGGAGACCCAAACATGAGGAGCAGGAGCCAACCTGGCCAGGGAGACTCTGGGGTGGGAGGCAGTGACGGCTCACAAGCATGTAGGCGAGGCCAACTCAAGAGCTCTCACTGGTAGACAAAGGTGTGCTGGATTCCAAGGTTTGGGGAACCAGGCAAGGGGCATAAAGGATAGGGGCAAGAAGTGAAGACCCATCTGTTCTTACTGTTTGGGGATCAGCCTGAATCATGTCCACAGAGGTGGTTCCTCCTGCAAGCTTGTAGAGTCCACGTCCCAGCACCGTGGCCACATCTGCCAGGGCCTACAGTAGGCAAGGAGGGCACTGAATGGGCCACCTCTGCTCTCCTCAAATATTAACATTCTAACCAGCTTCACTGAGTTCCGCATGTTCCCACCCCAGATCGGGCCAAGACTACCTTGGCAGTGTCTGTCACAAAGTTCAGGTCCTCTTCAGGGCTCAGCCGGTCAGGGTATGTGACATTAATGTTCTCAGCAGTGTCGTAAATGCTCTGGTAATAGCTGCCAAGACAGGTGGTGTGAGCCTTGCTTGGCTACATGCAGCCAAGACCCTGCTCCTTCCCACCCAAAATGCCCCTTATGTAGGGACAGGAGATCTTACTTCTCATCATCTAGGAGAAAGGGAGACAGAGAAAATTAGGATTCCTTGTTGAGGGTGTGGAGAATGAGGAGCTGGGAGTGAGAGTGGTTACATGCAATTTTCTGACAGACAAGAAAAAAAGGCAAATGAGACCCAAATGCAAGACTCTTTCCAAGGAGATCTTTCATCACAAGAGACATTTCTATGTCTTGGGCTGGTGACATAGGAGACTGGTTAAGATGGCCTTCAGAGAACACTGCCATACTTAACAGTCTCACATCATTAGAGCACCAATAAGCATTTATCCTTAAAGGGACTGAGAAGGAAGGGAAGGTTAGCAGATACTTGGACTAGGGATACTCACAGATATCATTATAACACACTAGGTCAAATCTCTATGAAGCTCCCTGGGGAGCCACAACAGATAGATCTTAGATAAAGAGTTAAGAGAAGGCTCCCAGCCTTCCCCATCAATAAATGCCTGCCCTACAAAAATACTGAGTCAGCTACATAAAATTGTGCTCTAATGAATCATCCTTCACCCCAAAGTGGTACAGAGGAAAGATCTGGAGAAGAGAACCGAACCTATCTGCCAAAACTAGTCTCTAAATAAATGACACTTGGCTGGGGTCAGAGAACCAGAACTGAAGCATTTTTTACTCAGAAACTCGTTTGGCCTGTTGGAAGAGGGGAAGGCAGGCTGGGAGAGCAGCAATCCAGCCAGAGTTCAGAACTCCCAGTACTCAAGGCTTCAAGCCCAGGGCCAGGAAAGAGGCAATTAATCGGGCCTTACTTCTCTGTGAGGAGTGCTGGTGTGACGCTGTGGTTAATGTGCCAGACTGTAAAGCCGTTTGAACTGCAAGGTTGGCAGTTCAAGCTCACCAGCTGCTCCTTGGAAACCCTATACAGGGTGCTATGAGTTGGAGTCGACTCAACGGCACTTAACAACAACTTCTCTGTGAAGCCACCTCAGTTGCCAGGGTTATTTTTACTCTCACAATGGCCATGTGTACTGACCAGCATGGCAATAAGAACATGTTACACTCCCCAAAGTGACAGTATTGTCTGCAGCACCCTTTGGGTGGGCGTCCATCACACAGGGGCCCCTCTGACCTCTAGCCAAAAGTACACCACTCCCCTTCCACAGGGCTCTTGTTTGAGCTAATGCCCTCTGCTGGCAGCTCTGGGGAACTCAGGCCCCTAGAGAGCTTGGGAGAAGTGGAACCCAACCATTCACACAGAACGATTCAGAGAGGAAGGGGATAAGTGTGAAGATTGTTTCCTAAAACAGGCAACAAGCCAACAAAGGGGTCCAAGGTCAGATGTGAACAGACCACTCACAGGGAGCACAAACTAACCTTGAGAGTTTCAACTGTGAGATGTGGGGAAAGTGGAAACCTTTTTTGACAGAGAAGACATTTCTTTCTCTATGGATTCCAGACCACAGAATAGACTCACTGTAAGACCAAAGAGGATTTAAGGTCTGGTGACTCTTACTGGTTATGAAAGGCAGAAGAGTGGTCAGCAAGAACCACACCAGAGATGTTTTGAGCTCGAAGAAATCGTTGCAGAGAAGACGGTGGGAGAGGCTGGGACTGGTTCAGCCTCCTGAGGACGACAGCAGGGATTCCAGCACCACTGCTCTCCAGTGTGGCCAGGAGGTCCTCCACCTGAGAAGAACAGGGAGGGATCTGACAGGAGGCTGAGGTACAGGACCTGGAGGGCTTGTTTGGGTCTGAGATACCCTATACTTCAAGCTCCATGCCTGGGGACTTTCCCAAGGCCTGTTGAGAAGCTAAGACAATGCCTCATAGATCTAGATTCCTGAAGCTTTTTGGGACTATGGCTCTCTGAATTTCCTGAAGCCCCTCACTAACCTTTCTAAAAGTAGAACTTAAGGCAGAAAGAAGCCTATGTTTTCCTCATATTTGCAAGTGAGTCCCACTCTGTATAGTAGGTATTCTGACTAATCCTCAGTACCCACTCACTGCCATAGTGTCGATTCTGATTCAGTGTAAACCTATACAGAGTTTCCAAGTCTGTAAATCTTTACGGGAGCAGAAAGCCTCATCTTTTTGCCATGGAGCGACTGATGGATTTGAACTGCTGACCTTGTGGTTAGTAATCCAGTGCTCATCCTACAACGCCACTTATTGTTGTTGTTGTTAGGTGCCATTGAGTCAGTACCAACTCATAGCGACCCTATGTACAACAGAACAAAACACTGCCCAGTCCTGGCTGGGGCTCCTTAATCCTCAATAGATATTCATGTATTATTTGTTGTATAGAATTAGAGGGGTAAATAATAATACAAAACAGTGTATTGGATGCGTAACAGACAACTCATTCTGGAAGTGCTATAAGAGTCCAGAGCAGGGATGACAGTGAAGGTTGGTGTGGCAGGAAGAGGATCTGGTGAAAACAGTAGGCTGAGCTGGACCTTGAAGGGAGGGTCTTGAACAAGTAGTGGGGACAATTTGAGTAGGGACTCTGGCACTACTCAAAGTTGGGCAGAGCAGCCTTGACAGCTGGATATATGGGAAGCAAGAAAAGAAGAAAATCCATCTCTCACTCAACTGGCTCTTTATGAGCAGCTAGTTAGCTAGACAATGAATGGCCTAATCATCCCAGCAAACTGGTGCTGTGTAACTGAGCTGATGATTCTTCCCAAGGAGCAATAACAGTTACAGCATTTATCCTTTAGCCAATACCCAATGGAAAGTCTTTATCTCACATTCTGAGCTATCGAGACAGGAATGGAGGAGAGATGCTCAGGTTACCTGGTTCCGTACAGACTCATTTTTCTGAGACATGGGGTCTGTGTGCATCCAGAGCTCTAGTGAAGTCCTCAAGGCCACCTAAGGGAGGATAAAGAAGCAATACTTATAGTCAAGTTGCTTACTGTGGCCTAGACCTGGGTGAAAGAGTCGGACCAGAAGAAGAGTCAAGAGAAGTGGTGGTAGCTTCAATGAGGACAACAGAATCCAGAAGGCTTCAAGTAGGAAAGAAAAGGGGTGGGCGATACATGCTGCACACCTGTCCCAGCTCCACGAATGAGTCAATGTTCTCTAATTTCACAGGAAACTTGCCCTTCTCCATATCGTAGACCATTCTTGAGCTGCCAATGTAGTCAAAAGTTTCCTGAAGCATGGAGATGAGTAGAAATGAGAATGGAAATGCCAACGTTAGGGCAGCCTCTAGGAAAGCCAGATCATCAACGTGATAGAGAAGCCTACTGACTCCAGTCATCTCAACTGCCAGCCAGCTTACACAATCATGTGACTTTGCCCTCCTCCCCACCCCACTTCCCAGCTGTGACTATCACTCACACGTATGTATGTATCACAGGACTTCCCAAGCCCAGATCTGGGGGAAGCAGCCTAAGCAAAGGCCCGAGGCAAACATCAGCTGTTATGTGCCTGCTTCTTGACTCTCCCCACCTCTGCTGGCTCAGCCCCGGCTGCTGCTTTCTTACTCTAGGGCCAGACTGTTCTGCCAGTGGGAAGAGGCAGGAGCCTCACAGGATAAATGTGAAAGGACAACACCACAAATTGATCTTATCAGTAAGAACGTGGAGGAGGAACAGGGTACCAGCTCCACATCAGGGTACAAAGGCTTCCTAAAACTGGGGAATCTGAAGAGGGGCATACCTGTAGGCATATCTAGAAGCTCTCTGCTGATAGAAAAGTTAAGCCAAGTGCTGCAATGTACATTTGATGCCTCAGAAGCACAAGTCACTGCCACTTTTATTGCCCCCTCCTTCCTACCATTCCACCCCATCCCAGAAACCTTACCCCTTGAAAAAAGACGAACATGACATTACGGGGCAAAGCAGTCACATCAGGTGCCTTTTGCAGAGCTTCAGCTGCAGCCAGCTGGGTGACGAAGGAGGCAACAGCACTTTCAGCCCCTGGGGCCACATTCCAGAAAAAGGAACGACTGTCCAGCTGGGTACAGCAGTGAAAAGGTAAGGGAGGCATATATTTAAATAGGATATTAGAACTAGGTCCCCAAGCCTCATCTGTTCCAGTCAAGAAAATAAGACATGTCCTGGGGCAAGGACTAGAAGCTGGGAGACTGCAGCCCCAGTGCCTCTCCATGTGAGGTGCCCAGTGCAGTTAACTCTAAAATTGGATCTGCCTAAGACAGACCTACCAGCCTTGCCCACCCTGCTTCAGCAGCCAACACTCACCCGGGTGGCAGCAACCACTACCCTGTCATCAGGCTCCAATGTCCCAGATGCGTTTATAGGCTTAAGCATGCTCCAGACGTTGTAGTCCGATAGGGGGTCACAGACAATTTCTGAGCAGGGCAGAAAAAGTGAGAGCTCAGAAGGACTGAGGGAGAGGGTGGCATATAAAGGCATGGACGATGTCTCTCAGAAGTGCCCCAGGGACTCTACCAGTCATTTTCTCTACCACCAGGAGCTTCAGGTTGGTTTCTCAACCACTGTCCACTCCAGGTACAAGTCACTTCACCTGCTCAGAGTTGTCTTCTTTTCTCTGCCCCCAGAATTCATTGCTTATGCCCACTCCTTCACTACCCTGGTCCCTCCAACATTCCCTGGCCCAGGACCCCCTCTAGCCTCCAGTACACCCAGCAGGCCCTGGGCCTACCCTACCTGGGTTGATGCTGAAGGTGCTCTGGATGGAGCTGCGCCGCATGCAGGTGACAGTGCTGATGACCGCGTGCATGTGTGAGAAGAGCTGCATGGCACACAGTGGGAAGGCTGGCGCTGAGCCATTCTGACTCAGGTTGTGATCTCTATAGCACTAGAATAGGAGAGATGCCACTGAAGAAACAGCTCCCTGTGGGACCATTGCTATACTGCCCAGAAAGAGGAGGGCCCAGCTCCAGCCCTAGGCTACTCCCATGTCTCTCCCTGGGCTATGATTGTCCTGGCACAACCACAGGATCTAGAGGGTCAAACAGGTGCCAAGGGGCAGAGACTCAATGGCTTAGTTGAGGTGGATACAATGACCTCATCCTAAATGGCCCAAATTTGGCTCTTCAGCCACTGTTCCTATTGAGATTAGGTGTAAGGAGCACCAAACTGGAGATCAAAAGTTCAGATTCAACACAACCTAGACATCAATTCACCATGTAACTTTGGACAAATCTCTTAACTGCTCTATATGCCAAAACAAAGAAGTTAAACTAGAATTACAGACTATTAGGACTAAACAAACCAGAAATTACCAAAATAAATTCCTCTATTTCTAGCCCCATGTTCTTTGTACTATCCCAGGGGTTTGCAACTAGGGATGTATGCCTTGTTTCATATTAAATATTCTTAACATTTTCTTTTAGCCTAAAAGTCTTGGCTGCTGTGACATCAGGCAGCAGAAAGAAGTGAGGTGGGGAAATGTGAGACAAACACACTGCTTGGCCCTTCCTTGGGAGAACAGTTTTCCAGAGAGTGCACAGGTAAAACGAGCCTCCCCCAAGTAGGAGTAATTGTTAGGAGCTGGTAGAACTATTACCTGCTTGATGACATTGGTTTCATTTTCATCTTCAAGAAGAAAGATGGGGAAATTAAAGTCTTCATATGCCAAGCCATCACCCAAAGGGTTCCACTCAATATCTTTACAGTGAGCAAATTCTGGCCCGTAGGAGTTAGAGTAAACACCTGAAGGGAAGAATGGGGGATTGGTTATTATGGCACAGTACTTAGGGACAAGGTGAAAGAGGAAGGTTAGGTCATCAAAAGGTTGGGACAGAGTTCAAAAAGAGGAGGTGACTTGGAGGAACAGGCACGAATCTACCACCACCCAAGGAGACACTGGTAGCAGGGAGCCCTAGGTTGGCCGATTACAGATCTGAACATGTATCCAGAAGAAAAGCTTAAGAGGAAGAAGGGAAGCAGGAGAGGAGAGGGATGAATAACAAACACTATCTTCTGTTTGGGAATCAGTTGCTCCTACTCTCTCCCTCCTACACACACAAACACACACACACTCATTCACTCACTCACTCACTCATTCACTCACTCACTCCAATTCACATAGACAAACAAACCACATTAAAGACGTTAACAAAAGACACAAGTATCTAACCAACACAACTGAAGCAACAAGTAGCCTAAGGTTCCTCTCCTCCTTTGGGCCTCTTACCAAACCCATCATTGGGGCACTGCACACTAGGAGAGAAGCCCGAGGGGGGACTGGGCTTGGCCAAGGACACAGCAAGACCAGCAATTCGCCCGGTTTTCCCCTTCAGCTTTTCCATCAGAGTCCTGCAACAGGGAGGGAATGCCATGAAGATACCATAAAGCCCAATGGAACCCTTGCCCACGCCCACAGAAGCAAATGGAGAATTAAGGAAATCAAAACTGCCAACCCATTTCTTGACTTTTCAGTCTTCAATTTCTGAGCCAGGACTATGATCCAATCTGAGTTTAGGGATTAACCTCATCTACCCTGTCTCAAGCATGGCAACAGTAGTGAGGCTGACCCAGGATCGGGCAGTGTTTCTGCTGTGCATAAGGTACCAACTCGATGGCACCTAACAACAACAACAAACCCGGTTCATGAATGACCCTGGGCACCACCCTCCTTCCTCCCTGGGGTCCTAACTCCTTAGAACTCTACTTCTAGGGTCACTCTGATGATTCCTTTTGAGTGCATATCTTTTCTTCTGAGGGCCACCCCTGCTTACTCCTCTGATCAGACCAAGGAAGTTTTCACCCATAGGCGTGGGGAATGTTCATGGAATCTTTCCCTATTTGGATGCATTTTCCTGGTAGGCACACCTAGTTCTTACCTGGTAAAGAGCTTGCCCTCCAACAGAACCATGTAAGGTGGATTGGGGCCATCAGTCAACACCCACTGCAGGTCCTCTTCTTTCTCTATTACATGGATAACCCCTGTGTCCCCACTAATGGAAGCTGCCAGGACAGAAGAGGTAAGGTTACATTTCCCACACAATTCTGACTACCTCTTTGGCCAGATCAATCATCCCTCCCAAGGATGTCACGGCATATTTGGGCTAACGTAGCCGCTTCTGGACTTGAACTGAACAGTTGAATTGCCCAAGCTCCACCTGAAAACTACCAGGAGGGAATGGAGAACAAGAGCTCCAGAGGACTACTCATTAAGGTAGACTTGTCCACTAAATGTCAGAAAGGCAGCATGATCTTCATGGGCTTGCCCTCTTCCCTTAACCTCACTCATTTAACTACATATGTAAGATTCTAGAACAGTAGACACTAAAGTTTCCAAACCTGTATTTTCTCCAGGAAATGGCAGGCTCTAGAGCTCTAGCTTGGAGTTCTAGCTTTGAAATCTTCCTTTGTGAAAGCATTATGTGTAGATTCGTCTGGCCTCAGTAGCCTTCCAGGATCTTCATTCTTTTTGCCCTATTTAGGAACGATTTTACTTGCTTTTCATCATTTTTAGGTGAGGTGAATTAAGAACTCTGATGTCTCCAGAGCAGAATTTTCCAAGTCTGAGACTTGAATGGGTAAGCAAAATTCTGATATTGATTTCCCTCAGTCATTGGGAAGGCTGGGAGCATGAGGTTTCCAAAGTGTTACAGGCTGGTCAGCTCCATCCATTTGCCCCCAGGTACTGCGCAAATATCATCTGCTTCTATATGTACCAGTGTGCCATCCAAATATTTTCTATGTGTCTCACAACATACAAAGGTAAGAAAACACTGCTCTAGAAGATGGATAATCTGAAGTCTAGAGTGTCTTGAATTCTATGTAGTGACGCCCCTCAAGTCCCTAGGGGTCCATTCAGAGACATAACTAAGTGTGTTTTTAAAAAAATATTTTAGAGCAATGGTTCTCAACCCTGCTTGTGTATGAGAATCGTTGTGGAGATTTTTTAAAAGTACAGGTTACCTAGTCCTGGTGGTGCTTTAGGATAAGCACTGGACCGCTAACCTCAGGGTCAGCAGTCCAAACTCACCATGTACTACTATATGGGCAAAAAATGAGGCTTTCTGCTCTTGTAAAGATTTATAGCTTTGGGTCGCTGAGTTGGAATTGACTTGATGACATTGGGTTTGGTTTTGGTTTTGAACCTTACCTCAGATCTACCAAATTTCAGTCTCTAAAGAGGGGCCCAGATATGTGTATTTTTAAGGCATACCACATGAAGTTATTCATTAAACAAGCCAGCTGTGAGAACTATGGTTCTAGACTAAGGCACTGAAGTACTTGTAATTGGCATGAGATTAAAAACCATAAGCAATTGTAGACAAGCAAAATGTTTTTCCCACTGAACCTAGTAAAATCTATAGACATAGACACAGGGTCTCCAACATTCAACTAGGTCTTAAATATAGTAAGTACTTGATAAATTTATAAAACTCGATGGTGATGATGATGAAATATGGCAGGAATATCAGAACAAGGAATAAATCTAGATACCACTGGGAGTTCTATATATATCAAAAGATAATGGCCCCTGCCATAGCATTGAAGCATGGGAAAAGGAAAAGAAAGTCTAGCAAACAAAATATATACACTGTTGCAGAGACTAGAACAGGTTATGACATTGGAAAAACTAAAACAAAAATCCCTGTATTCAAAAAACTCTGGGCGCTAATTGGTGACTACATGATCTAAGTAGTTTGCTTACTTTCTCTGGGATGGAACTCCCTAGTCATTTCACACTGTGGGGAAAGATAGTAAAGAACACACAAAAAAAGAAAGAAATCTACATATAGCCTTTTGAGTACCTTAAAAGAAAGAGCTTAACAGAAAGAGTACAAATATTTTAATCAATAGATTAAACTATTTTTCTTTAGTTTTACCATGCTGCTAGTGGTTTCAACTCATAGCAATCCTGCATATAGTTTCTAAGGCTATAAATCTTTACAGGAGTAGAAAGTTTCATCTTTCTCCCACAGGGCAATTGGTAGATTCGAACTGCTGACCTTGTGGTTAGCAGCCCAGTTTGTAATCCACTATGTTACCAGAGCTCCTTATTAAAGAGGGTATCACTTACTCAGGGTGGACAGACATGATGATGTAAGACTTAGAAATAAGTAGCTTGAAACAGGAAACGAGAGATTAATGAGGAAGAGGCCAGAGTTCAGCCCCTCTCCTCTGGCTCCTTTGTACTAGAACTTGGCTTTAGTTCCAGAGGTTACTGCTTATACCCCACAGAGCTGCTCTATGAACACGCTAAGAAATGCATGTTTGCATTTTAGGACCCCACCAACTAGAAAGCCAGAAAGACCAGCAGTTTGATCTCAGTCCACAATGGATCTGGCTCTTTTCTACCTACAAACAATTTTGGAACTAAATCCACCAGAAATTCTAGTTGGGGCTATTTAAGACCACTCCTAGTACCCATGACAGTACACAACCCATAACCAGCTGGGACATGGGACAATTCGTATATACTAGGAAATCAGGGAAGGAAGGGTAGAAAAGCATTAATTGTCTCTTTGAGCAATTCCTTTGATTCCAAGTGTCTGTTTTGTCCTACAGAATTGAAAGAACATTTCAGGCAATCACACAGTGCTCCTGAGACCACATTACCTATTCAACATTTCTATATAAAATCAAACCCACTGCCATCGAGCTTGATTCCTAGAGACCTGTAGGACAAAGAACTGCTCCTTAAAGTTCTGAGACTATAAATCTTTACGGGGACAGAGAGCCTCATCTTTCTCTTGCGGAGCAGCGGCCGGTAAATTTGAGCCTCCAACCCTGCAGTTAGCAACCCAATGCTTAACCCACAGTGCCATCAGGGTTCCTAAAAACAAATAAACCCCAATGCCACTGAGCCAACTGCGACTCATTGCAACTCTATAGGGTTTCCAAGACTGTAAATCTTTACGGAAAGATGAGCAGATAGCCTCATCTTTCTCCTGCAACCAAGGCTCCTACCATCTATATAAATATCTATTAAAATGTACTTTGACTTTCAGCTTTGTGTAGATGTATTCTAACATGTTTATGGATATAAATTCAATCTGATGATGATGAAGCAAGATCAGGCCCAAAGTTTTCTCCTCACCTGTGAAACTACATTCTGACAGAGCTATTGTCCTTGGAAGAACAAAAATCTAAAGACAGCAGGTTAAGAAGCAAAGGGTTCCGCCTTCTTATCACAACTCTTCTCCGTGATTTTATAAATTTTACAACCATGCTTTTGGAACACAGTCACAAAGTATAAAGTCCAAACATTTCACTAATTCCTTCTAACAACTATTTAGCATTCTCTATTTCTTCTTCTCAAACAGTTCACTATCTTTAAGAAGCCCATTCTAATTCCAAAAGGATCATTCAGAGGGCAGAAGACTGAGCTTCATAGGAAATGAGACTTCTTTTTTTACTTAGACCACGAGGGTTCCAATCTTGGCTTCCTCACTCATTATCAGTACGATCTTATGAAAGTTATTCAACTTCTCTAAGTCTCACTTTCATCATTTTAAAAATGGGAATAATAACAAGACCTACCTCATGGGTTGCAGTGAGGGTTAAACACATGTTAAAAGCTTGGTATGTAGCACTTACTAAACGTTACTCTTATTACCTTGCTTGGTTTAACAGATGGTTTCTACCACCTCCTGCCCATGTAGTTTAATCTGAGTGTTGAGTCTCCCAAGCAGAACATGGGTTTTACTTTATATCTAGAGCACAGACAAAAAGACCATTGACCACAAACACAAACTGCAACCCCCAACTCACACTGGCAGCCAATCTGATGAGTAGCATTGAGCAGACGGACACAGGGAGCTGTTTTATTTAAGGGGATGTAGATCTTCCTCTCCACAGAATTCCCCCTGCACAAAACTGAAAAGATAAAGGGTGTTAGAAGAAACTGAACAACAATGATATTAGGTTCTATCACTTCATCAGCTGACTATAAGACTTAGGTTAAGTCATTCAATGTTTCTAAAATAGGAAGAATGCCTATTTCTCTCACTTCTTGGGCATATTACTGGAACACATAAATGCTCTACAAAGCACTCAGCTATGTGCCTCAGAGGGCTATTACAAATTCCATTTTGAGAAACTAATACTGAAGCTAAAAGACAGAAAACTTGACTTGCCAAAGGAAAGGCACATCAGACCTCAGCTGTGTCAGCTTCTGGTTGCACTGCTGATCATACATCTACTGTTCTGTCCTGTATATCTATTATTAAGGAGCTCTGGTAGCGTAGTGGTTATGAATCGGGCTGCGAACCGCAAGGTCAGCAGTTCGAAACTACCAGCTGTTCCGCGGGAGAAAGATGAGGCTTTCTGCTCCCGTAAAGATTTACAGCCTCGGAAACCCTATACAGGGCTGCTATGAGTTGGAACCAACTCCACGGCACATAACAACAACAACAACAATATATCTATTATTAATTAGTTAGTAAAAGGGCATAGGTTACAAAACAATAGCTTTCTTGGATAATTTTACAGAAGTCTGAAGACTTTGTCACTTGTTGTGAGCTGCTTTCAAGCTGGTTCTGACTTGGAGCTACCTTATATATAGCAGAACAAATCACTGCCTAGTCTTGTGCCATCTCCATGATCTTTGAGAAGTTTAAGCCCATTGTTAAGTCAATTCATCTCATTGAGAGTTTCCCTCGCTTTTGCTGACCCTCCATCTAAGGAGCATTCTGATTGTAGTTCTTCTAAGACTGATTTTTTTTTGTTCTTGCAGTTCATGGTAAATTCAGTAAGAACAGAATTGGCAGAAGCCTTAAGCCACACACCTGTCAGAGATAATCATATCTTGGTGAACTACACCAAAAGCACTAGTAGGTCATTCTGTATGCTCACTGTGTGGGGCCCGGCAGTGTTTTCTTCTGTTGTTCATAGGGTCGCTTTGAGTAGAAACAGTGTAGGGTAGCTATAGTTTCCCCTTTGGAATCTTTAAACATAATATGAATTTGGAGAAAGGCACAGTCATGGTTACATATTCATGATTGCATTTTGTAGCTCCAGAGGATAAGAACTGGATTGTAAACCACATGGTTGGCGGTTCAGGCAAACCAGCTGCTCCACGGAAGAATGATGAGGCTGTCTGCTCCGCAGATTTACAGCCTAGGAAACCCTATACCGGGTCACTATGAGTCGAAACCGAATCAACAGCACTTAACAACAACTAGAAAACCATCTATTTAAAAACAAACGCAAGTAAGCAAACATGTTATGTATAAAGTTCCTTGGATCATTACTTCAGGGTATTAACAGTTGCGTACCCCCATATCAGAAGCCTTACTTTATAGATGAGAAAAACTGAGGCAAGGCACAGGACTGGGGTTTACGGTGAAACCAAGACAGGACGAAATGAGGAAATCTACTTTTATAAGCCCCGCACTGAACCCACAAAACGAAGCTGGTTTCATCTTAAAAAGTCAAAACGCCCTGGGAAGGAAGCTGCACTCTGACACCTGTCTCTTTTGATTGTGGGTGGGGTGGAAGGGGCCGTGCCGAAAACCAAATGAAGTAGGAGAGAGTCGGGCAGGAAGAGGCCTGTCACAGGGAATACAACGTGCGCAAAGGGATAAGGGACCTTCAGGTCCAGGAAAAGGGGGAACTTCTGTCGTGGGAACGAAAGAGAAAGAGGATTTACACGGCGGGGGGACAGAGGGGCAAGGGGACCCGGAGGGAGACGGCAGCGCTGGCTGCTGGGCCGATCCAGAGGATTCTTACGGAGCGGAGCTCACGGGTGGGATAGGCCTCACCTGCAAACAGGAAGCAGAAGCATAGAAGGCGAAGAAAACCCTGACTTCCCCGGACAGCTTCACAGTTGCCCCCAGCTGTAGCCATCTTGCCTTTCCGCTGTGCAGAAAGCTCTGTTCCTGTCCAGTCAGGTAGCGGCCTCTCTAGGCCGCCACTGGCGTCATCTCTGTGGCCCAGAACTCCAGAGACCGGAAGTTCATGTCTTCAGGCGCTTCCGGTGGCCACAGCGGAGGGACGCTGACGTGGAGACAACCAGAGGGCAGCAGGGAGTGGCGGGACTCGGTGTAGCACCTCGGAACCGGAGGTCGGAAGGATGCTAACCAAATTCGAGACCAAGAGCGCGCGAGTCAAAGGTAGTAGAGAACAAAAAGGAGGCCGAATATTACTAGCGGCGCTGTCATGGGTGAAAGTCAGGGAGTAGACTTGCCGGCCGAATTTGGCCCACCGATAGACCCAAAGGAAGAAGGGAGAGAGGGAAGTTAGGCCTAGCGGACATTTCTCTGGTCTTCTCTTCTTTGGTGTGCCCTCGGGTCCTGGTTTACCTACAAAGTTCTCCCTACCCCCGCAATCTCTTAAGTCCGTTTATTTTTGTGCTTGTATGGCCCAGTGTCTTTTTGCTGATTATGTTGTCGGGAATGGCCTTCGGGATTGTCTCGATCTGTCACTCACATCGGAGTCAGTAACTGAGAAGAGTACTACTGGCTATCTCGTTTAAGGAAACATTGGCTGCGTATCAACCTCCAGTGCTTCCAGTAAGAGTCTTATTTCTTAAAACAGAATTTGAGGTCTGTGTTGCTGTTGTTGTGAAATGCCTTGGAGTCGCTTCCGACTCATAGTGACCCTGTAAAGGGTGTTACCAAGGAGCCTGAACCTCTGACCTTGCGTTTCAAACCTACCTTGCAGTCCGACGCATCAACCCGGCACCTGAGTTTGAAAAGGTTGTCAGATTACACACAGGTCGTCCAATTAAATTTGAATTCAGATTGCTGTTAAATCTCTCGAGTTGGTTCTGACTCATCGTGACCTTGTATAGTTTCCGAGAAGCTTCAGTTGGGTTTGAACTGCCGATCTTTAGGTTAACAGTACTTTGCATCACACCACGACTCCTTGAATTCAGATTGGTGATTGGGTGCCATAGAGTCAATTCTGACTCATAGCGACCCCGCATAGTGTTTCTGAGTTTGTAAATCTTCATGGGAGCAGAAAGCCACGCCTGTCTCCTGTGGGGCTTCTGGTTGTTTGGAACATCTAACCTTGAGGTTAACAGCCTGGCTCATAACCACTATGCCACCAGTTGTTGTTGTTATGTGCCGTGGAGTCGGTTCCGACTCATAGCGACCCTGTACAGGGTTTCCGAGGCTGTAAATCTTTACGGGAGCAGATCGCCTCATCTTTCTCCTGCGGAACAGCTGGTAGTTTCCAACTGCTGACCTTGAACTTAGCAGCCTGATTCATAACCACTACACTACAAGAGCTCCTTTGAATAACAATGAATACTTTGTTTAGTGTTGTTCGTTGTTTATGTGAAATTAAAATTTGAGCGTTCTGTACTATGATTTGCTAGATATGAGAGCCTTAGTATAGTCTGTTGGATGACAAAGGTAGGGAGGTTAGGTCTACTGAGATCTAGAAAACAAATTGTTGTTGTTAAGTGATGTCAAGTTGATTCCAACTTTTAGTGACCCTGTATAGGGTTTCCGAGGAGCAGCTGGTGAGCTTGAACCTCCAACCTTGCAGTTCAAACGGCTTTGCAGTCTGGTGCATTAACCCACAGTGACACATCAGGACTCCATTAATATGATAGTGGAGTTGAAGTAATAGCTAAGTCTCACAGGAATCATGAAGTGTACTATTCCAGATTTCTGGGAACTGGATGGTCAAAATGGGTCTTCATAATTCTTGAGTTTTCTCTTCTGTTTATAAATTTTTATTGATAATAAAGAAGGAAAGCGAAAAAAGTGGAGAAAAAATAGGTGTCAGAATATTTGAGGGTTGTTGTTGTTGTTAAGTGCCATCAAGTTGATTCTGACTCAGAGTGGCCCAGTATTGGGTTTCCGAGAAGCAGCTGGTGGGTTTGGACCACTGACCTTGTGATTTGCAGTCTAGAGTTTATCCTACATTCACACCAGGATGCCTTAGTCTCACTGTTGTTGGGTGCCGTCAAGTTGATTCCAACTCATAGCAACCATGTACAGGGTTTTCCAGGAGCAACTGGTAAGTTTGACTTGCCAACCCTGTAGTTATCAGTCCAGTGCTTATCCTACAGCACTGTGTCAAGACTCCTTAGTCTCGTTAAAGTGCCATTAAAAAAAATTAGTCCAATCAAGATAGTGACTTCTGAGGGAATCTGCTGGACCAGTTAAATTCAAGGCACAGAAGTTAACTTAGAAAATCATTGTGACTATTTGGGGGGACTCCAAAGGGGTAGTCATGATAGATTTTCTCAAAGGGAAAAGGACAGTCATTGGGCTTTATTATGAAGAAGTTTTAAGAAAATTGAAAACTGCACTGCTGAAAGAAAACCCAGGAAAGTTGCGATGAGGATTGTTTTTCCCATAATAACAATGCACCTGCTCATCCTCCGAGGGTAGTAAAGGCTATGTCATGAGAATTTCACTGGGAAACCGTATCCTATTTACCTATGGCCTGGGTCTTTCCCTCAGATTTCTTTTTTGTTCTCAAACTGAAAGAAAATTAAAAAGGGAAATAATTTGGATTCCTCAGAGTGCTAAATCTGCCATTTTGACATGTAAATCAAAGAATGCAGAATTCTTTGGGGGAAGGATTAGAGAGATGGGACCACTACCTTCAGAAGTGTATACCCATAAATGTGAGGGTATGTTGAGAAACAATAGCTTCGCATTTTGATATTTTTATTTAATAAAGGCTTCTGTGATTTTGTAGCAGTACTTTTTTACTTAGCCTCATAATGTGATCTCTAATTTCATATAATGAATAAGATCTATGTTTATATATTTGGTAGGTTGGTTATGTGCCGTGGAGTCCATTCCCACACACAGCAACCCTGTATAGGGTTTCCGAGGCTGTAATCTTTATGGGAGCAGAAAGCCTCATCTTTCTCCTGAGGAACAGCTGGTAGTTTCCAACTGCTGACGTTGAGATTAGCAGCCCAACTCATAATGACTACCTTACAAAATTTTTTATTGAGTTATCTATATATATATATATGTTGTTGTTGTTAAGTGTCATCAAGTCAGTACCGACCCATAGCAATCCTGTATAGGATTTCCAAGGAACGGCTGGTGAGCTTGAACCTCCGATCTTACAATTGAGCTGACTTTGCAGTGTAGCGCATTAACCCATATGTTTATATATAACTTCAATAAAGTTTGAAAGATTACATACTCCAAACTGTTAATAGTAGTTAGCTCTGGTGATTCCCACTTTTATTCATGATAGAGTAACAGGGACCAGAATTGTCTTCCAACCTTAAACAACTACACAACTGAACAAAATGTAGAAACCAGTTTTTTTATAGAAGAAAAGATGAATGCGTTAAGTCCAATGATTATTTTAGCTTACTACTTGTAGATAATTTCCAGGCTACAGTGCAGTTAGGAGGAAGAAACCTGTGGCCTTGCTTAAACAGAGTTTGGAAGGAAGCCAATGTGGCTAGAATTGGCTGGACCAAGTACTAGAGAAGAGCGAGTTGCATAAATGACTTAAGTTCTGTCTGGGGTCCTCTCAGGTCTGTGACTGAGTACTGACTGCACATGCATATGAGGAAAACTACTCAGTACCTGGGAAAGGACCACTGGAAAGGAAAAAGTAAGACAGTTTCTGGAGCTCGCACAGTGCTTGGAGTAGTTTTTGTGAGCCAGAATGGAAAGAGCTCCTAATGTACAGGGCATCATATATAGACTTCAGATGAATATTGCCTTAATACCAGTACCAGTGGCCATTGAGTCACTTGTGACTTATGTCAACCCCATGTGTGTCAGTAGGACTGTGCTCCATAGAATTTTCAATAACTGGTTTTTCTGAAGTATATTGTCAGGGCTTTCTTCCAGGATGCCTCTGGGTGGACTAGAACCTCTAACCTTGCAGTTAAGTAGCTGGTACATTTACTGTTTGTACCGCTGAGGAGCTCCATTGCCTTAATAAAAACAAAAACTCAAATCACTTGCTGTCAAGTTGATTCTGACTCATAGCAGCCCCATTTGCTGCAGAATAGAATTGTGCACCATAGGGTTTTTATGTGGCTGTGTGACCATTTGAAAGCATATCACTAGGCTTTTCTTCAGAGATGCCTCTGGGGTGGGTTTGAATTGCCAAATGCTTAACCTTTTGTGCTATCCAAGTTGATTTTTGACTCATATCAACCCTATAGGAAATAGAACTGTCTCCGTAGGAGTTTCAAGGCTGTAAATCTTTATGGATGCAGATTACCACATCTTTCTCCCATGGAGTAACTAATGAGCTCGAACTGTTGACCTGTGCTTAGCAGCAGCAAGGACTCAATCACCATGCCACCAGAACTCCTTGTTGCAATAAAAAACAAAAAGCAAATTCACTGCCATCAAATCGATTCCGACTTACATTGACTCTTTAAGACAAAATAGAACTGCTTCTTAGGGTTTCTAAGACTAAATCTTTAGGGGAGCAGCCAAGCTCACCGTTCTCCTTCATAACAGTTGATGGGTTTGAACCACTGATCTTGTAGTTAGCAGCCCACTGCTTAAATGGTGCCAAATTAGACTGAGACCTGCTCTGGACTCACCCTAAAAGAGCTTACAAGTAAGACTCAAAATGATCAAAATGATTCCATATAGCTGTATCCTAAAACAAAGCCCAGCAATATTTAAAGGAGTATAACAAAAATCCAGCACCTGACATGAGATTTACAGTGTCTGGCATCCAATAAAAATTATCAGGCATGTTGAATGAATGAATGAATTCAGGTGTTCCTTTTTTCTTATCAAAATTGATAGAAGGTATCTTTACAGTGAGGATCATTCCCATCCCCTCCATACACAGAGTAGACAGGGATGGGCAACTTGGACATTGGTCACCCAAAATGGGGAGAGGGGGCTACAAAGGCAAGAAGTTGACTGGCTTACAAACTTTCAAGAGGGAACCTAGATTCAGAGGGTAGGGAGAAAGGTAGAATATCTATGAGTAGTATCTAATCTGTCTGGGCGGGGCTGATGAATGGAGATGGGGATAGGTCTCTCATGATACAACAGTGAAT